AACCTCACACTGGGCACGTATGCATGCATGCCCAAAATCCCAAGAGGAGAATGGATGGGAAGGGATTGTGGCATGGCCATTCCCCCTAGTGGCGGCGGGGATGGGGGGTGGGGCACAGGTGATTTCTCGCTTTCCATCTGTCTGTCTCTGTCTCTCTGGCCAGTGCACATGCCTTATAACAAAAACCTCTCTTTATAAAAAAAAAAAGTAAATCATGGAAAGGAAAACAAAATAATTGAATACATCTTATAATGGAAAAATATGACCTTTAAACCCTTTAGAGACTTTCTCTTTCCAAAACCATTCACATATCCAACTTCAACACTGTATTTCCCCCAAAAAAGCTGACACTTTCTTCTGACCAAGTATCTTCCACTGGGGAGCCATATTTTAGGAAATTAAGGCCCAGCACTTTGTTTTTCCTGCTTCTTTATCCACCTTAATAAGTCAGGACTCTTCCAGCAGCTAAAGACGAACAGAGCAACAGGATTTCAGAAAGAAAGCAAACTCTTACACTGTCCTGAACCAGAGGTCCCTCAGGAAGGGAGAGGTTAGTGTAGGGATTGAACACACAGATCTTAAGTCAGACAGTCTGGATTCAAATCTCAGCCCTATCATTTCCTGGTTCTGCAGTTTTAGAAAGTCACTCCTCTTCAGGACCAGTGGGTGGTGTGGTGATTAAGACGCTGAACACTCCCACAAGGCCGACCATGATTCGAGTCCCAGACCTGGTGGCTTGCTTTCTCACCTTCTCTCTGTTTCTCTCTCTGGCCAAATTAAAAATAAATGAATTAATAAATAAGATTAAATAAATAATTCTTAAAAAGAAAAAAAGTTACTTCATTTTTTTCAGCTTCTTCACCATCAGAGGAATAATAGTACTTACCTCAGAAGGTCATGCACAATGCTAAGAAACCTACCTAACCCAGAACGAGTGCTTGATGTGTGTTGGACATCATCATATTGCCACCTCTTTGTTTCTGCCAACTCTCTTTCAACCTTTCCTATCACAGACACATATGTGTCATCAATTCCACTTCCTTTACTTCTGCCTACTTTGAAATGCTTTTCTCTCTCCTTTCTAGACGATCTAGTCTGTTCACATTCCTCTTCAAAGGAGGAGACTAAGATTGAGCTCACTAATAAGGACTTTAATATGAAACTGACCTATCCCAAAGATGAGATGACCTCTGGTTCATTCGTAGCATCCATTTCGATGTTGCCATGCTAAACTTGTCATCCTTCTATGATTCTGCAAATATGACTCCTCTGCTGAAAAGCCTTCATGTAGCAAACCCACTCTTACGTCCTCATTCCTGAATCGACAATCTGAAAGAATGCTTCAAGATCCAGCTCTAAAAACTGGAAGGTGAAAATGAATGTATAACCTATATTCTGTGCCCTTTCATTCCTTTATTCTAAAACATAAGTATAGTAGAGTGATTTAAAGTATAGATTTAGAATTAACCAGACCTGGGGCCAGCAGTTGGTGTAGTGGTTATGTCACTAGATTCCTACATGGCTGACCACAGTCCAAGTCCTGGACTTGGTGGCCTGAAAATCATGCCAGGTATGTGTGCATGCAAGCCCAAGATCCTAGGAGAAGGGATTGTGGCATGGCCATCCCCCTGGGGGTGATCTCTCTCTCTCTCTCTCGCTCTCGCTCTCGCTCTCTTTTTCCCCCCCACCCCCTCTCTCTCCCTTGAGTGCATGCTCCCTGAGGCAAAAAAGTCTTAGAAAAGAAAAAGAATTAGCCAGACCTGGGCTGGCCTTCCAGCTCAGCTGCATTCCAGCTCTGGGACCTTCATTGCAGTTACCTAACCTTGTTCAAGTTTCAGTTTCCTCACTTGGTAAATGGGAACCATATGACTTACTTTACTGAATCACTGTGAAGATCCAATTCCATTTTTTTTAATGACCTAATATAACACCTGGAATAAAAACTTCCAATAAATGTTAGCTATTATTATTAAATGAACTCCATAACGCTTTACTGGACTATGGGATAAAATCTGAACAGTGACAATTTGGGCCCAAACTTAAGCCATTCTGCCACCTACCCATTTCTCCTTCACCAGGCCGGAATGTCCTGCTGCTTTCCAGATGTACAGTGCCATTATGCCTTCCTTTTTAAATATGTCCTTGTCTAGAAGGCTCTCCCCAGCCCTACCCATACTGCCTGGGCCATTCCCACACCACATCCCCGACATCACACACCTTCACAGCCCGGCTCAAATACTTTATGATGCTGCCGTATCCGATGCAGTTTTGCTCTTCCTTTGATTTTCTCTTAACGCTCAGAACGCTACTCAAGCACTACACCATGATGGGATCTAATTTGTAAAGGCCATTTCCTCATTAAACGCAAGCACCTTCAGGACAAAATTTCAGAGGGAGGGGAGCAAGCAGAGAGAGACTGAGAGAAAGAAGTAAAGTGGTCACTAAACATTCTAGCAAAGGAACAAAGGGCACCCACTAGTTATTCATTTTCCTCCTACCACACCCTCCTCTTTTTCAGTATTTTCAACACTCTTAACTCCCCTACACTCTTATCTTTCCATTGCACTCTGTCAAGAAAAAGCTCAGATGACCTCTCCTAGATGGGGATGGTATACCCTGAAGGAAAAAAAAAAATCACAGAACTGTGAAGACAGGTACCATAAGAGATTTCTGAATTCCACCGACAGTTGAGCCCTCAGGGAGGCCTGATGACCTTTGAACCAGCCTTGGTTAGCACCTACACATGATTCCTTGCACTCTTGTTATTCTTCCTCAGTCCCCTGTAAAACATCCAAACCCCACATGCTCAGAAGAAAATGTCACCTTTTGTCTTCAAGAAACTTGAGGCCACACAAACTGCCCAACCATACACCATCCTGCATCTGAACCCATCCTTGTTTCAAATATAAAAAAATACAGTGTCCCATGTCCTCCACAAGGCCACCCTTCTGTCCTGCCATGGCTCCATCCCCCACTAAGGCCTGCCTCAAAGAAAAATCCTGTCCACTGTCTTCAACTTCTCTCTTTCAGGAAAGGCTCTCCTCTCAATCTCTAAACACACGTGAGCGTCTCCCATCCTTAAAAATAAGTAACAATATTAAATAAAATTTTATGATTTTTGAGTAAAACATGACTATCTTTTTCATTACTATGCTTTGTTTCCCCAATTTAAGAGTTCTACTTTCTTTTGAGCTGTTGATAGGTTTAGCAATCTGTTAAAATGTTTTTTTTCTTCTTGTTTGTTTCTTTACATGGAAACATAAACTTTTCTCCCTTTCTGACCCATCTGGAATGGGAAAATATTTGGGAATATTCTTATTTTGTGGCAGAATGTTGTTTGCATAAGTTCAATAATACCTATTGCCTTGAATCAGAAACTGGAAATACTCGTTATTGGACAGGGCTTTGACTGGAATGTCATACCTGAAGATTAAACTAGAAAACTATGGACCTAAGGTAGATCTCAAGTAAGCCAACAGAAGCTCTTGGAAAGATGGTCTGGCACCATAAACAGTTCTGCCTGGCAGAGAGGATCAGAGAAGCTATATGAAAGAATTCGTACCATAAAATAACCTAGACTTTTCCAGTCTAGCATTGTAGTCAGTATAGAATGCAAAGGAGCAGCCACAACCAGCGGATCATCTTGAGAAAGACTTTGAAGGAAGAAGACTGATCTTTGCTAGCAGATGGTATCTCACAGAATACTTGGTAGGCAGAGCTGAGTTGGGAAGGTTCATGTGTGAACTGTGTGCTAGGTGTTTG